GAGGCGGCGGGGAGAGCCCGGCAGCGGGGCCGCGAGGGCCGCTGCCCGGAGGGGGAGTTCGAAGAAGCTCCTGGAAAAGCGAAACGCGCCGTGGAGCTCCTTGGACCCGCCTCAAGCCAGAGTCCCCGCTGCTGCCCCGGCGGGCCGGAGCCCAGGGCGGCCCCGCAGCAGGGGGGCTGCCTCCGGGCGAGCCCCCTGCGCCTCTCCCCCTTCCCATCCTCAGCAACAGGAGAAAAACTCTGCCCGCGGGGCCCTCGTTGCGAGGCAGCATCCACCCGGCGTGCACGGCTTCCGTGGGCCTCGCACCCCTGCCCTCGCCCGTGGGCCTCGCCGGGCCGCGCGGGGCGGGGCGGCCAGGCAGGGCGCGGGGGCCAAGTCCCCGGGGGGGCCCCCAGAGGTTGTCCCACCCCCTCCCGGAGGTAGCTGCCCCTCAAAGCCTGGCCCCCCCAAAGAAGGGGATCTGGAGCTCAGGCTGGGCTCTCCACTACGTGATTTTTGAACGAGGACGTCAAACCGCCCGTTCTGCCGTTGTTTTCGCTACCGTGAATCCGGATTGCGCTGAGATTTCATGACGGATAGTCCGTTGGGGAAATCGTAGTAACCGCTTTTAAAAGCCGGCAAATCAACACAAAGTAGATAAGGGCTCGCATCTTCTGGCCACCCCACCCCCACGGTCCACCCCCGCCCCCCTTTGCTATTGCCAGACAAAGGAGGGGGTCGAGGTGGGTTCTGCGCTGCAGATGCTCGCAGAGGGACAAGGAACCCGGAGATCAACCAGGGCCGAGGAGCTTCCCGGGCCTCCTGGAGTCTCACTTCCCCGCGCCCGCCTTCCTCCGTCTTTGCCTAGATCAAATTAGAAATGACTGAGGAATCTCTTCCCCCTTCCGTGGGACAGAGGAGCTTCTTGCGACAGTATCGCCACTGGGTAGGGACGATATCCACCCAACCCCTCCATTGGCTGCCGGCATCAAGGCTTGCATCAATCAAAAGATGAGGGGAAGGACAGGGCCAAGGCAGCCGAGGGCTGCGGCGCTGGCCGTGAGCCTGGCTTGGGGGGCAGGCTGTCGGGGGGGGCCGGCTTGCCTAGTGCCGGGGGTGGGCACGGCTGGGGAGAAGGCATGTCACACGGCCTCGCCGGCGCAGCTATCCCATGAAAGCGACGGAGGTGCTTTTTGGTGTGGAAAGCGCAGTGGCTTTCCATTGGGAAACGCCGAGAGAAAGGATGAGTCAGCACGCTCGCCCCGCGCAGGATCCGCGCGGTCTCGGGGCACGCTGTTAGGTAACGAGGCTCTTGCTCTCAAACTAAGCAAGAGCCTGGCTAAAAAGCTGCCTTTTTTTTTTTTTTTTCCCCCTTCTGACAGCGGACGCTTTCTTGTGCCCCAAATTGTTTATCTTCTTAGAAAAAAAAAAAATCCTCGAGTGGAGGAGATTGTTAGGTAGGAGCCTATAATCTACATTTTGTCAAGAGTATCAAATTCATTCCGAAAGAAAAGCTTGATCCATTTATTTTTGCTGCTTGAATAACACAGCTGGATGATGCCTTGAGCTTACTCTAGACGGTTGCTCATCATTCATTCGCCAAGAACTGGCCTAAATGGTGCCTGTGGGATTAGGTCAATTTTAGTGGATCTACTTCGCCTCATTTGGTTACTAATTGGTTTCTTGTTTTATAAATCGAAATCTCATTTTCAGGAAATTACAAAACCCATGCAGCCAGTCCATTGAGGTAATCCGTGGGTCGGGGGTATTTAAATGGAAATGGCTCTACGATGCATCAAGTATTAAGCAACAGTAAAACTTCGCCTCTATTTCCAAATGAAATGTGAGCTCGCTAGCTCCTTAGATCCATAATAGATACATCCCTTCTAAGGCTACTTATGTAAATATGATAAACCAGACCTTGGTGGGGGAGGGGACGCAGGGAAGAAAGCAAATTTTATCTGCTAAGGTTAATGTGGCATATCTTGGAAATCTTCCAAAACAGATTATGTTTTGCTTTGTCTTCGGCCACTTTAGCTGGGAAAATCCTTTGCCTAAAAACGATTTAGTTATCCTTCCCCTCACAAAGCTGCTTGTTTCTATTCCAAACCTATTATGCTACTGGCTCTCCAAATTACAAGAGAATCTTTAGATCTTGTTTCCAAGCGTAATCCTGAAGCAAAAGGGAGAGCTGATTTCCTTGTTTTGTTTTAAATAGACAATCAAAGGATTTGCAGAATTTTCTGCGGTAGGTCAAGTGCAAGAAATCACAGTTTGCCCCCTCGATAAAAGGAAATTGGATGTTAAAGCGAACAGACAGGGAAAAAAAGGGGGGGGGGGATATTAATGGAGAGGTTTTCTGGTATAATCTTTAAAAACAGTATTTAAGGGACATCAGGAGAGCCCGTCGATTTGGGAGAGGCTGGGCTTGGCAGTGAATAGAAATAGCCTCCGGCTTGAAAGTGCTGAAACATCTGGAAAGTACAAAGAATCTCTCGTGATAGGATTTCAAAAAGAAGGTACAGGTAGACAAGTGAAAACGTTTAATTATAAACCATTAACAGACACAACCCAGCAACGCGGGGTTTCCACCTGAAACACAGCGAGGAGTTCAGCGCCCCGTGAAGAACCGCCTTCCCGGGGGGAGGTTAACCTGTAATGCCCATGAGCTGTTCATTAACCCGCCGGGGTCGGGTTATTTTCCCTTTTAGAAGAAGAATAATTAGAGCCGTAAACTTCGATTAATAAGCAACTTAAATCATAGGCGGGGAGCGCGGATTTAGTACGGAATCCAGAAACCTGTCATTCACATTTCCCTCCGGGTGGGGGGACGTCGCAAGGAGCCGCTTTGGCCACCCCTGCTCTAACAGGCCGTCCTGGCTCCCCAGCAGAGAAACCTCTGAGGGGCTCGGAAAAACAAATATACAGCGGTTTTTTTCTCTTTCCCTGGAAGCTGTGCAAGACTTGCCAGCTCCTTGCTGATTTCGGGGGGGGGGGGGGCGCCGGCGGCCCGCGTGCCTGGCGGCTGGCTCCCGGGGCGGGGGGGACACACACACAGGAGGACAGAGGTGCCTGCGGAGCCCCCGGTGCATCCCCCGCGGGTCTACCCGCCCCGGAGGGCGCAGGGAGGAGTGAAGCCCAGGGACTTAGGAAAAAGTCACTGGCTCCCCGCTAATTGGCGTGGAGGAATTAATGGGAAGGAGCCTGTTTCTGGCTGGCACGCTGATACACGCTGGGGGCTGCCGGATGGGGGTCAGGCCAGAGAGATGCCCCTGCCTTTGTAGGGCTGTGAAGTTAAGGAGAAAGAGAGAAGTGTAGGAGCGGTGAAGAGACAAGTTGGCGTGAGGAGGTGGACGAGGAAGGGGGGAGCAGGCAGGGACAGGCGGGGACGAGAGGGGCTCGTCGCTCGCCGCTTCGGCGGTGGGGAGGGAGGGCGGGCGGGCGAGGGTCGCCGTGGGATGCCGCGTTCAAACACCGCGGAGGAAATCGTTAGCTTTGTTTAGACCGGCAAACACCTAGGTGAAGCCGGTCAATAGCGAGGAATGCCCGCGGCTGCCTGCTGTCGCAACCTCGCCCGTTTCCTTCGAAATAGCCGGGAAACGGGGTCCTGCCTTCCCCGAGCCCGCCCTGCGGGAGGGAGACCTCGCCGGCCGGACTTCGCCTCCCCTGGGCGATCCGCACCCCAGCCATCAATCAGGATTTGTATTTTTTTCCTCCCTTTTACTTTATCTTAGTCTGTGCGTGTCAGGCTGAGCCTTATTTCACGGCATAAGCGTAAAAGGTTTTAACTGCCCCGTTTAAATTATTTCAGCAGCAACACTGTGAAAAGGCATCGCCCGTAAATAGTTTCACTCCTGTGGAATAATTTCCGTGTGGCTGTTGTTCCTCCTTACTTTGCATAGGAGAAACCAAGCGGCGCCTGAAGCGTTAGACGGGTCCGGAGGGATTCATTTCTGGAGGGGGCATTTTGGGGGCAGATCATCCCTGTCTGCAGAGACCCCTCCCGCCTGCCAGAGCAGCGGGGAGGAGGGATGGCGGGGAGGGAGGTGAATCCCGGAGCCCCGGCTTCGCGGGGCAGGAGGGAGGACGGTCCGTGCCGTCGGACAGTGACTTGCCTGGGCCGCCCAAAGTGCCCTACCGCAGCCGTGAAACCGCGCTGGGCTTAGCGACAGGTAGTTTGCTTTTCGTGGGCTTGAGTGGGGATGACTAAAAGGGAGAGCGTTTTAACACGGGGCTCGGGGAGAGCTGGATGAGTCGCATCTGGTCGCTCCTCTCTCCCTCCCCAAGTACGTAATTACAAACCTTCCAGGTGAGAGGACGGTGGCCCCGAGGAGAGAAAGAGGCAGGAGGTCACAAATCAAACTGGAAAGTGATCTCTGGCGAGCAGGGGGTCTAAGCCCATCCTTATCCCTCCCCGTCCAAAGCCTGCTGGCTAATTACCCGTCAGGTTGTGGCCGAGCTCTGCCTCCCGCGGGGGGAGAACCCCCCGCAGGCAGCGCTCAGGAGCTGGCCTGCCCGAGAGGTTTCTCTTCCCCGGACACCGTCGTGCCACCTGAACCGCATCCTTCTCTCGACATCGAAGGCTTCCCTCAGCACACCTCTCTCTTTCCTTTTAAATAGCTCTCGGTGCCGTCCAGGAGCCCTGCGGAGGCGTCAGGAGAAAAGCGCTTTCCCTGAACCTCAGGGAGCCAGTTCCCAGTAGCCGAAGGCAGCACTAAAAAGCCCTTTTATCTGGCACGCTATCTCACTTAGGTCTTCGGAATGAGCTTCACCGTTAACTCAAAATAGATATTTTAGTATTCTTCTCTCACGGGAGTTAGGTCTTTAAAAAAAAAAAAAATCCACAAAAGAAGCTTCTCTGCGGAACGAAATCATGTCTGGTTTTCCAAAGATCATATGTATACAGGTCTTAGAGCGAATACGAGCAAAAAAAATCGAAAGAAAATTCCCCTCCAGCAGACCAGCACGAGTCAATTTTTCATCTCTTCACCTTACTTTTTTTGTGTGTCTTAAATAAACAGGACTTGGAGAAGCCTGGGGCCACTCTAGCCGAACCAGCCCGCTGGATAATGTTGGACGGGAGCTGGGATCCCATCTTTTGCAGGTACTGGCCTGGAAACGACAGCCATATGGTATTAATGATTAAAGAAATCATTCCCTCTTCTGAGCTTTTAATTGCCACCTTGACTAATTTTTAACTGTTCACGTGTTTAATAAAAAGGGGGACGGGAGGGGAACAACTTCAGGAATACGAACCGTCGCGGCTGAATGTCGTGCGATTTAACGGGGCTGTGTTTGGTCCCTCCGGGTCCTCTGCCCCAGCATCGTCCAGCACAGGGTCCGCAGCGAGGGATTCCCAGTGCATCCCAGTGATGGCTTTTCCGCAAGTTATTAACAACGTGACAAGTCCCGTCCATGTGCTGAAGCTCAGGGTGGTGTAGAGACAGGGAGAGGCTCTAGAGATAGGTTGGAGGAGGCTGTCCTGGGCTCAGCAGGCACAGAAATGAGCATAGACACAAAACAGGTAGGACACATTTGAAAACTCACACCTGCCTGAAATATTAAGGAGTATTAGCTGTTACTGTCACCATGCATTTTTGGTGGGGTTGTGTGGCCTTTTGGGAGCCTATTCTGCTCTCGGCACACCCAGAAGTCCCATCTTTGTCTGCTGAAATGTGCCTGATAACTTCTCTTGTCCCTTATTTACACTATTGAGAGTTTTAGAGCCTCCTTGCTCACTTAAAGTCTCCTTAGCAAATATCCAAGCGTTAAACCCCCAGTGACATTTGAAACGGGATAGAAATGTTCAGGATTTCTGGGACCGACATATTAATCACCAGGACCTCTTCTTAGGTACTTCCCAGGCACTTTGCATTACTTTTGAGCTCGGCCCCCCTGAGAAGTGGGTTGTATCTCAGGTGTCCAGGAGATTTAGAGGGATTCTTGTCCAGGACTTGCCCATTTCCTTCCATCTTTTTGAATAATCACAGCCTGGACAGGGATGCCTGTTTGCTAAAATAATCCGAGGGACAGGTACTTCATGAAATCTCTCTGTCTTCATGGGTGGCTCTATCCGTCTACCTATTGATATATTTATACTTCCCACCCCTCAACCCTTTTCTGCAGACGTTGGATGGTTTCATATTTGTCGTGGCTCCGGATGGCAAGATCATGTACATCTCGGAGACCGCCTCGGTGCACCTAGGCTTGTCGCAGGTACGCTGGGGGGGCCGCTAGCCCCCGTGCCTGCCCGCCCCGGCCCCCGGCTGACAGGGCAGCTGCGTGCGGGGAGGGTGAGCGGTGCCGGCGATGAAGCCCTTCCTCCCCCTCCTCCTCCTCCTCTCTCACAGGTAGAGCTGACCGGCAACAGCATTTACGAGTACATCCACCCCGCCGACCACGACGAGATGACGGCGGTGCTCACGGCCCACCAGCCCTACCACTCGCACTTTGTGCAGGGTAAAGTACATGGCCCTCCGCCCCCCGCCTTGGCCTGCGCGGCCGCGGAGGGCACCGCGCAGGGGCCGCGGAGCCCCCCGGCTCATCCCACCTCTGCCTTTCCTCCCTCCCAGAGTACGAGATCGAGAGGTCCTTTTTCCTGAGGATGAAGTGTGTCCTGGCCAAGCGGAACGCCGGCCTGACCTGCGGGGGCTACAAGGTGCGTGCCCATGGCCAGGACCCCCCCGGCCCAGCCTTCCCGCGCCCCTGCTCCGGCAGCGCCGAGCACGCAGGGAGGGCGGTGAAAACGGGGACAGGAGTGGGGACGAGCCCTCTGCCCGCGGGGGCTGTCCCAGCCCGGGGCTCTTTCATGTGGTTCAGAGCCAGGATTTCTCTCGGAGTTTCAGGTTAAAGAGCTCAAACCACAAAACCAAGCAACCGAGCTCCCCGTGGGTTTTTTTTTGTTTTATTTTTGCTTTTTAAAGTGAACCTCGCACAACCACTGACGTTCCCGAGGTGTCTGTGGAAGCTGTCAGGTGACACAATGAGAGCCCTGGGTTAATTTATTCCTTTATTGGGTAACTCGGCAGCTTCAGGGGCAGCTCTCCAAGCCAAGGGTCTTGCCCGGGTGTTTCACACGGTTCTGCTCAGGGCTCCTCGGTGGGGACAGCCCCTGCTCTCCGACCTCGCTGCTTTTGTGTCAGCTGCACAACGCCGAAGAGCGGTGGGTACCTATAACCCAAGGAGATGCTGTGCCACGATGTGCCGCAGAACAAGAACGCCTGTTGAACTTAGCCCGGGAAGAAACACTCTAATAATAGAGAAGTAAGGGTGGAAGTACATGGCACTCATCTGCAAGGATACGTTTAGGAGACGTACCTAAATCTACGTCCAAAGATACTTTCTGGCTACGGATCGCTCCATCTATATAATAGACATAGCTTACACATGTGACATACGCACACATGTAAACTCTTTCTCTCACACGCATACACTCTTCATTACAAAGTTGTAACTGGCTTGGCACTTCCGCGTCTTTCCTTTTTAGAAGAATAATAAAAGCGTAGTTAGGAGGTGGTCCAAAAACCTTAAGTCAGTGGAAAAAAGAATCTCGTTGACTAACGGGCCTCAGATCAGTGCTGAACTCTCGTATGGAAAAAACCCCAACCCAGACAGAAAAGCAGAAAACCGGCAGCCGGTGCCGCTCTGCCGGAGCCGTGGCCCGGGGCAGCCGCTCCCGGGCACACGGCGGCCGCATCGGCACCGGCCGGGGCGGGCGGGTCTGTCCGGGTCCCCTCCGCGGGGAGGGACCCCTGCCGCAGCACCCACCCACCCCCGCTAGGCAGCCCCCGAGCTTCCCTGTGTCTCCGGCAGGTCATTCACTGCAGCGGGTACCTGAAGATCCGCCAGTACAGCCTGGACATGTCCCCCTTCGACGGCTGCTACCAAAACGTTGGCTTGGTCGCCGTGGGCCACTCGCTGCCGCCCAGCGCCGTGACGGAGATCAAGCTCCACAGCAATATGTTCATGTTTCGGGCCAGCCTAGACATGAAGCTCATATTCTTAGATTCCAGGTAGAGCCGGGGTTATTTCCGAATCTATTCCCCTAGCCCATCCCTTCTTCTCCCCAGGCCTCCTCTCCTGTCCTCTCACCCACTGATATTTGCTGCTTGTGTCTCTTGCAGGGTAGCTGAGCTAACAGGTTACGAGCCCCAGGACTTGATAGAGAAGACCCTTTACCACCACGTCCATGGCTGTGACACCTTCCACCTGCGATGCGCCCATCACTTGTGTAAGGAGATGATGTTCTTGTAGAGACTCTGCCCCTCGCCCCCCGCCTTCTCCCCCTGCAGATGGACTTTGGGTTTGCTAGGGTTGACCTCTAGGTCGGAACGGGCAAAGCCAGCTCACTGGAGGGGAGAATAAGCAAAATCTGCAGCAGGTTTTAATGAAACAAGTCGTTAGAGACTTGAACTCCGAGCTGGAGGCAGGAGGGAGATGGAGGGGATCGGCAATGAAAGGCTGGGTTGCCCTCCGCGGCTCCCGCTTGCAGGACGAGAACTGCCCTGCACAAACTTCAGGCGCTCAGTTCCCTTCAAATTTCGGTTAGGAAAAACCCTTTTTTCTTGCTCCAAAAAGCCACGCCAGTGAAATTCAAATACTTTTGTTCCACCAAGTCTCACAAATCTTGTCTGTGTATCTAATTTTGACTGCAGTAGTGAGCCCGATTCGGAGAGCTGTTCTTCTATTTTGATATCATGGTGACATTAATACGTGGATAGATGAATAAAAAGGATATTAATTTCCGGTAAATTTCCTTACAGAGAGTGTAACGAGAAGAGACAAAACCCGAAGCCAGATTTATAGAATTAAATCTCGATGAGGATACGGCGGGGTGGGGGGATTCGACCCCCCTCGGTGTACTCACCCTACCCCACCAACCTCCCCGAACAGGCTTTGCTAACGAGTGGGAGAGGTCGCCTCTGGCCTGGGGACACCCGGGGGTCTCCGCCACCCTTGCCCACGGGGGTTTCGGTCCACGCCGCTTCCCCATGGGATGCTAAGGGGTTCCCAGCCCCTCTCCTCGCCCACGGGGGCCTGGGGGGGTGGGGTGGTGGTGGCGCACCCCCTTCCCAGGGCCGATCAAAAGGGAGGGCGGGAGCCGCGCTGAGGCTTCTCCCCGCTTTGTCCCCGCAGTGCTGGTGAAAGGGCAAGTGACCACCAAGTACTACCGCTTCCTGGCCAAGCACGGCGGCTGGGTGTGGGTGCAGAGCTACGCCACCATCGTGCACAACAGCCGCTCCTCCCGCCCGCACTGCATCGTCAGCGTCAACTACGTCCTCACGTAAGTCAGCCTGGGGGCCGCTCCACGTTGCGCGGGGCCGAGCCGAGCCGAGCGGGGCCGAG